GGGGGAAAAATGTCAGAAAACTGCAGATTTCGCTGACTTCGAGAAACCTTCGCCAATCAGGCATACCTAACCTTTCTGTAGACCACATACATAATAGTTATAATCAAGCATAGTCTATTGAATAAATACAAAAAACAAAGAATGGAAGTGCGAAAAACTGTGGAAGTGTGAAAAATTGGACCACAGGAAAACTGGTTAGGTGCGGGACGCATACATGCCGCGCTGTCCCTTAACCTGCTAAGTGCGGGTATGTGTCCATGGGCACAAACTTTTGTGATGATAAAGTAAAGTGAGGTGAATTTGATTCTTGGATCCATGTACAAATGAATTGGAGCCGTGTGACATTCAACCAGCTTCCAGATTCACTTCGAATTCGTGGTTACCATAACAAGGTCATATCGCCTCTGTCACGCACTTTCGTGTCATGAGAATCGCACACTTCCCTTCTTTGAGATTAACTCTCCGAGGAAAACGGAGTTGGAGGGAGTCATCCGCTCCTGCTCTACGACTCTGACGATCAGGATCAAGTAAGGTTAAGATGTATCTGGCGGTAACCATAAGAACTTAGATAACACGCTCATTCAGAGAAACTTATTGATAAGAACCGGCGAGATGCCCCACATAATCGACATCCATTTTCCTTTTTTTGCACACTTTCAGTGGTCCAGTGTAGCGTTTCCCCATCCCCCCTCAGAGTTCCGGCACTGGTTCTTGGCTCAGAATCGCTTCTCCGCGCTATTCCACGCTAGTTTAGGCGAACGCTTCTAGAACGACTTATCGCCGATGAAAGTCGTTATTGAGGCCTTATCTCGGCCTTTATCTTTGGAGCCGCAGAGCAGAATGGGGCATTCTCCTCCAGCTCTATTTTCACTCTCTATCCTACTGATGGGAGGGTTTGAATAATCAATATTTACGGTGAAGTGTTTCCGGGAATGCATAGCATATTTCAAATGTTATTTATGACTACGACATTTATAAGAAGTGGTCGAGCAGGAATCGTTGAACTATGACGAATCAGTGACAGTTATCTCCATGATTCATGGACCGTGTCATATTACAAGTGTTCTAAAAATGTATTCAAAGTAAACAAGGAAGCAAAGAAATGTTCAGTCCATTTCCTCCTCACCTTGCAAGCAAAATTAGAAACGATGACGGCAACGCTTTCACCAACCCTTTGTATCCGACTGGCTGTTGCTTCTGCGGTGCGTACCAAACAACGCAAGTGACGACCATTTCCACAAAATGCGATGGCTTCACCAAAGAATTGATTAATGGCATTTCTACTCTTCAACTGCCTTAACTAATGCTGCTAACAAATATCAGTTATCAACAGCAGTCACTAAAAACTAACACAAAGTATAGACCTGCGGCGAGTGAACAGATAGTCGGTGGGCGTACCCCGCCAACCGCGCCAAGAGTGAGCCATGCTAGATCGCCGAGGTCAAATCTTTCGCTGCCAATTGCGCGTCGGTCAGCACCCTCAGGAGGTCCGCCTGTCTCCCAACTATGCAATTTTCCCCTTCTTTGACCTTCGTTCTTATCGTGAATTCCTCCTTTAAGGATTACATAAGCACATTGGAGGCGTTAAAGATAGCATACAAAATAGTGCTGGATCAAACCTCCGAAACTTCATTGAACCATCCTTCGGCACGTATGAAGAGCAGTTCTGAGCTTAGTGTTTCAAGATGAATTCGGTGATGCACAACCCATTACAGATGACAGGATCCGACCCCTTGACCTTCCTCGGCAAGCAGAATGCGTGGCGCATTCCAGAAAGGGAACGATTCACATACAATGACCCTTTTGCTTCTAACGACGATTCACATACAATGACCCTTTTGCTTCTTAACGAATGATAGAAAAGACACCGGCAGAAGCCTCAATTAGGCTACCGGATAAAATTGACCATTCCACAGCCAATAGGCCGAAACGCATTTGAGAGAACCTGCCGTGCCGTTACATCGGAAAAATCGCAGGTTCTCTCAAATGCCATTATGTTGACGGGAGCTCAAAAGGACGGTTAGAAGTATAAGTTTATTCTCGATGTCCATACAGTGGTTCGAATCTCAGAGCTTCAGTTTTGCAGAGTTTTGCAAAGTTGTAGTGGTTGCACTCTGAAAGCAATATTCTTAAATTTTCTTTCTCTGCTTTTGTTCCATGCGGTGGTGACACGATTGGGCTGATTGTCGGAGATAAGCGATTTCAAAACATTTCCTTCACATCATATCAAAGCCGCTGAAAATAACCGCAGCAGAGCTCGATTTTACAACCATGAAGATCCTTCGTCTAAACATAAAACTAACTATAAGTGCGGTCAAACTAGATTATTTAATGGTTCTATAGATGGCCTAAACGATAACCAATTGAGAGCCGCTTGGCTGTATCCTGAAAACGGGCCGTCTTTGCTTTTTTCGAAGATAAGTTCGTTGAACTAGGCGCTATAATTTTGCAGGAAAAAGAAACCACTAATTTTTGGGAGTGGGAACTTTTTAAAAAAGTTCTTCTGCACGGGGAGTTCTTTGAGGAGGGAGAAAAAGATGGAGATCACTATTCAAGGAGGTCTTCCTGGAATTGCTCAGCTTCCTCGAAACGGTTTTTTGCTCGATTAGGTACGTGCACACAGAACTGTGGTTCATTCATCCTAAGCGACCCTCTGAATACCTAGAAAGGAATGAAAAAAGAAGAAGAAAAATCGTAAGAAAAATTTCCTTAAGTACTGCCATTTTTGACTTTCTTCACCAATTCTTCGCTAAAGTCTACATATAAAGGTTGATGATGGTCTTAATTATCGATATGACTAAGTTGTATGTGCTGACGCTGTTTTTCGCGAAAATTGAAACACGAACACCAAATGCAAAAAAGTTGTCTCTGCGAGGATTCGAACCGCGCATCACTTAATCTCCCTTTTTTAGTCACGGACCACTTCATCACCCCTTTTTTAGAATTCAGAGAGCCGCTCAGGCAAAATGAGCTACGATTCTGTGCTCCATGCACATACTCCTATATCATGCAAAAAACCTTGTTTTGAAAAAAGAAAGCTGGGCATTTCCTGAAAGACCTTCCTTCGTAAAGGGACTAACCTCATGGACGAAGCAACAGTGGGCGGGGGGGAGGGGTGAAAATTCCCCTTTCATAACCCTTTTTACTGAACTTTGACAGTTGTCCAACACAATGGTTTACCTCGATCCAAAAAACCTTCCATAGCCCCCCCCCTCTCCCTCCTCCTTCACTTATTTTCATCATACGGCTGAGCAAACAAACATGCCAAGTATCCCAATTGGTAGATCTCAGAAGAAATCACATCGGTTGGGGTTCTCTTTTGTTTTTAAGAGATCGTCAGACGCCCACGATAGGGAATTTACTTGGAAAGTCATCGATGTCGATTGATCGAGTCATCGATTAGCGTTCTTTGAATAGCGCGATACGGATCAACGCAGCTCGAAGGTACGGTACTCGACATAAAACTTAAAAAAATCACGCGACAACAGTGGTTCCGCGTTTTTTTTTCGTTACGTTACAGTAGTAGTAGTAACATGAGTTTTTTTCCAGAGTTTTTCCGAGTATTTTTTTAGAGAATACTTTTGAACTCAGCTCATCAAGAGTGTAAGAAGTTACTTCATAAGGTTTTGAAGAGCTTCAATCCAAGATTGATCGAGGGGCGAACATGCGATTCTTTCAAAATTGTTAACAAGTATAAAAAAAACCAGTCCTCAAAATTGATAATAAAAAAAAACAGTCTTTAAAATGACCTGCAAGGACAGAACAAAAAAGGGGAAATTCCGTTTTTCGCGTGAATTTTCAGAGTTCCACGGCGGCTACCGTAATTTTGGTTAGGTTTCGTCAGCGGAATGGGTACTTTTCGAGCGGGTTTTGTTTAGTGCAAAGTTTCTGTTCGAGACAATGCCGCTAAATTGCAGATTAACAATCACCGACCAATCTCTTTGTTATTCCCCTGGTGCTTCTTTGATCTCGTCAAGACATTCTTTTTGTACAGCGTCATCTGCTCTAGATTTGATAGAGTAACACCTAAGGAGCAACTGTTATCTTATGTTGTTGATCAAAGATCGATCTGCAGCTTTCTTTATCAACGAAAACACGATCCATTGAACGGTAACCTTCGTGAGGGTCATATTTCGGTGGACAATGAAAAATCACAGGCCGTCATGCAATGAATGGAAGCACGTTCATCCATGGACTTTGTTCCCTTCTGCAAAGGGCAGACAATCGCTCATCGAAGCAGACGTGAGCTTTTGCATTACGGTAACTGACGACACATCGACCCTCCCCCTAAAGCCCTATAAAATGGCTGCAAGAATACCATGGAGCAGGCAATCGCTTCTGCATCGGACTATCTACCTACCAGCTCAACGGCTTCCTGTGATATTCACACTCTCTCGCCTTACCCACTTAGGCCACGTTATCCAAGAGCTGTGATCGGGGTCGCCAAGTGTACTAGAGTCCCACTTGGCCATGATTCCTTAGGAGCCGTCATCTACCTTATCCTCTCGATTTAGTGCAATCCCCTTGGGATAAGCCGGTCCTGAAAGGTTTTCCTTGCCTTCCATGTGGCCCTGAAAACATTGTTATGTAGTGCAGACCTCTGCTACAAGCAAGCAGAACCCCTCAGCCTCATTGATGCAGGCTGACAGTGGTGTGGGTAGGTCGGGCTCTCGTTTCCAAAACGCTGGGACATCCTTTTGCAGTCAGTGTTCAGTCGGGCCGTAGCAGCTTACTGGATTCAGTAATCCAGTCGGGCCGCGACTTATCCATATACAGTACCCGCTATCTACGGTAATTGAAACAGGCTACGACTTATCCGGTATTACTTTACAATGCCTGACTGCTCTTATCTAACCCCTGTTCTGTCTCTTGAGCTTGCTTTTATTGCCTTCTGCTTGAACCTCTTTGCTTCATGATGTGAATTATGTAGTCCAGGGAACCTTCGAGCTATGCAGTTTCCAAAAAAGAGTTCTGTCCGATTGAAATTTGAGTTTTCAGGAATGCGGCTTCTCATTCTTGCTCTCGCTGGCTTCGTCGCCTTCACATCCGCGTAAGTTCCTCTCTTCTGTCCCAGCTTGTTCGAGAAGAGACCTGGTCTATCTCTGGGCTGAAATCCATGGGCCCGCCTTTTTGTTTTGCCCTCCTTCCATTTTTGATGTTGTGTACATTTTTTTACAGTAATTGTGGTCCAAACGAGAAGCGATTTGAAAAATTTAACCAAGCTCTGTGAGTAGCAGCAATCCCTTTGAAGAAGCTCAAAAGCCGTGATGGAGTGACACTAGGGCCAGGAAAGATGAGAAATGCTAGGAAGAACACTTGCTCAAATCCTTTTTTGGAATCCCTCCGCCTCCCTAAGACTTGTTCTCAGGTATTCTAAGTGGCTCGCGTACTTTAGCGTCTTCCAGTTCCCCAACCACACGAGAACCATATTTAGTTGTTGATTTGCTATTACCCAGATTGAGGCTTCTAGGATGTCGGATGAAGATGTGAACAAGACTTTCATCGCTGCCCTTGGGAAAGTGCCTCTCTCGTACCACTCTCTGAGAGGTCCAGAACGGCAAGGACTTCTACAAGTTGTAAGTAGTGAACGAAATTCTTCGAGCCCACAGAACGTTCATCAGAGGACTCCTTATTGATGTTTCAGCCTCTCTTCACCAGCAATCCGGATGTTCGCAAATATTTCAAAGGTGCAGAAAGCTTCACTGCTGATGATGTCCAGAAAAGCGATAGGTGGGTTGCTATCATCTGGAGCGTTATCAACGATGCTTAGATTTATTTGATATTTGCAGATTTCGCGACTCAGGGCAATGCTCTGCTCACGTCCGTGTACATTCTCGCCGACACCTACGACAATGTAAGATTTCAATTTACAACTCACTGCTTTGGGGAAAAAGCTTGATCCAACTGCTTTTAGGAGATGATCTTCCGCGCGTTCGTCCGCGATCTCATGAACCGACATAAGGAACGAGGACTTGACCCCAAGCTGTGGAAGGTACGTGCCATGATTGAGCTGTGCAGTCTGATCCGGTCGTAATGAGTTCAATCGGATATTCAGGAATTCTGGGGAATCTTCGAGAAATTCCTGGACGGTCGAAAAGCACTCACTGCTGACCAGAAGACTGCCATTGAGACTCTCGGCACAAGGTTCAACGAGGAAGCTCAGAAGCAACTCGGCGTCCTCGGACTCCCACACACATAAGCTGAAACCACTAAAAACATGTCAGATTTATCAGGAATCTTAAGTATTTATACAAATGATAGCTAGGCTAGTATTGTGCGTACTGCCAATAAAAATCTGATGGTTCTGTGAAATTGTAAAAACAGTTCTTATGAGAGGCCATGAATGCATTACGGCCCTCTATTTTACAAGACATTCCTTTCTGTGTACAAGCATCCACTCCGGGAGGTACTATCTTTATACTATAAATGACTGCGTAAGGCCAACGCAGGTAAAGGAAGGTCCCGCGGTCGCCGGCAAACAGGTGTGGAAAATAAATAAAAAAAATCAGTTCCTCCACTAACGACTATACACCGAATAGCATGACCCTAACACTGGATGTCCCCCATGACAGCGTTCAGAGTAGGCGATCGCCATCGTTCTTAATCGCCAGAGCAAATGCTGACTGATTGCGACAGCGCGTGTGAAAAAGGTGGTTTGCAGGTGAACTTAAAGGAGGATTCCGCTATTAGTTAGAAGGTCGTACAAGGAGAAATATATCTAATGGAAAGAGGACAAGCCCCTAAGGGTGCGGGACGACGCACGTTTCGCAGCAGAGGGTTCATAGCAGGACTCACCGAATGACGCTTGCGAAGCTGCACAGACACCAACCGGTTACCCCTCCACGTCTGACTCTAGCCCTTCTAGCAGGAAGAGCGGAAGAGAGAGCGTTAGCGTTGATGAGGTCAGCAGCGATGAGACTCGCCTAACGCGGAAATCAACAGAGAACTTGTCCCTTATGGTTAGTGCTCACTGCTGCACCTCTGAGCAGCTGATCCACTGACAGCGGGCAACCAATTTATCGTGAAATCCGGATTTAGCAAAGAAAATGCCTTCTAGGAAATTGGTCAGTAACTAATGCCTAATTCACGACCAACGCAACGAATATCTCGGATGCTCCAGCTAGGTGTACCTAGCTCGGGAATCAGCACCATAAACAATCTATCTCTAAAGCTGAGC